TTATTAACTACAGGGGGGTCTGCAATCAGTCCGCGATTCCTAAAATGCTGGATTTTTTAATTTGTAAGCAAATACAGTGGATGTCAGTTAATGTGTTGTCCGATAAACAGCATGGTTTTTCCAAAAACAGGTCTACTTTGTCGAATTTATTAGAGTATTATTGTTTTTTGAATGATGCCTTTGCGGAAAGGCTGCAGGTGGATTCTGTTTATACAGACTTTTCCAAGGCATTCGATAGGGTTAACCATAGACTTCTCCTCTTTAAATTGGGTAAATTGGGTTTTAGGAGTGATACTGTGGAATGGTTTAAATCATTTTTATCTGGACGAGTACAGCAAGTTAGAATTGGTCAACATCTATCAGAACCCTTTTTAGTTTCTTCAGGTGTGCCTCAAGGTTCACATTGTGGCCCAATATTGTTTCTACTATTTATTAATGATATAATATCTTGCTTCAAATACTCCAGGGTTTTGATGTTTGCTGAGGATCTTAAATTGTTTAAGACAATTAGAAATAATGATGATGCTTCAGATCTTCAAATGGATTTGAAACGTTTATACGAATGGACCATTATTAATATGCTACCCCTCAATATAAAGAAATGTAACATTATATCTTTCGGTAATATTAAAACGATCATTACAGCAGATTACTATCTTGGTGATTCTTTAGTCTCTAGAGTTGAAGAGGTGAAAGATCTAGGGATCATTTTTGATTCTACACTTACTTTTAAGCCTCATTATCAATTAATTTTTAAGAAAGCGATGAATATGTTAGGTTATATATGGCGTCATTGTAAAGAGTTATCCCCTTGGTCTTTGAAAACTTTATATGTATCCCTTGTTCGCCCACATCTTGAGTACTGTTGTCCCGTATGGCGGCCTTATTACAATGTTGATTGTTGTTTGTTGGAAAGAGTTCAGAAGAAGTTCTTTAGGTTAATTGAATATAAATTTAATCGAAGTCATCGCCAAGGTGACTACACTTGGATTATGTGTACTCTCAACATGAATTCTCTTGAGGACCGACGCAATATAGCCGACGTAAATTTTTTGCATGGGATTATCAATGGTTATATTGACAATTCTGATTTATTGAGTCAATTAATGTTTTGGGTGGCACCGACCAATTCTAGAAACACACGTAGTGTAGTTCTGTTTCGTGTCCCATTGTACAACTCTTCCAGAGCTGGAAATCATCCTTTGTTGCGTATTATGAAAGAGGCTAATCGGCTGGTAAATCATGATCAATTTCTATTGTTTAACACAACCAAAGGGAAATTTAGGAATAAAGTAAGAAATTTGTTAACCTCTTAGCTTGCGTCTAAACTTGTTAAGAATATATATTCTGTTCTGTATGTTAGAATATGTTTTGTCAAATTTTGTTAAATTTAGCTATATTTACTCAGGTTATTTTATCTGTTTTTGTTTTTTTTTTTTTTTTGGAAAGTTAACTTTTATTTATTTTTGCGTTTATATTTAATTTTTATGTCCTTCTGGATCTTTTTGTTTCACTATTAATTGTATATATCTTAAGGGGTATCCCGTTGAATAAATAAATAAATAAATAAATAAAAATAAATAAATAAATAAATTAATAGGAATGAATGTTCTGGGCTGTGTTTTATGTTGGCCACTTCAATCATTTCAAGATTAACAGATCATAACACACTTCGTGTGTGAAATCAGCTCGGTTCGAGCGAAGATGGGAACAGCGCATCGACCGTCGCAGCCAATCTTAACCAATTTCAGATTTTTTAAGGGTTCATTGTTTTTGAGTCGACGGTTTTTAAGTATGAACACTTCTTGAGTTCTTGATAAAGCCTTGAAAATATGACATTGTCATGTAAAAAAATAGTACCTACCTGTTTGCCCACTCATCAGAAATTGTCTTTGTGGCATTGTTTTTTTTTTAATTAAGAACTGATGAGGTTTTTCGGTCAGACACGGTAAATTAAATGATAATTGCTCATTAGGTACGATTAATCGTATTAGTGGGAATACCTATTTCGGTCAACTTTTAATTATTTATATACCTACGTAAACACACTCTCGGGTGAGTAATTAGGTTTAATTTTTGGCTTCAAATGGAGTTCTGTTCTGTAGGCCAATGGATCTTGTTTTTTTTTAGAACCCATAGAAGAGAAATTGAATTTTTTTCTGGCATCGTTATTTGAATTGATTGCATTTGTTCTGTAGATTATGTAGCATTCAATACTCTCAATCAATTTGGAAATTATGCAAGTGTTTCTGAACATTCGAACTGTATTTTGAATATAACAAGTTTGTACAACATAACGTAGAGCAATAAATATCGGTCGGTTTTAATCTAAATATAAATGAATCTTTCAGTCTAGCTTGTCACAAAATTGGGTTCTCGTAATTATTTTCGCTTTGGAAAAACTTTTGTCGTCAAAGTTGGACGTATTTATGAGAAAAGTTTGTAACCGGGAGGTTTTCTTTGTCGATTTGATATGCTTCGCGTTTTCGTGTCTTGTCGTTTTAAATTCATTTTAAATTTCCCCTAGTTTCTTTTAGAGTGGTATTGATTCTAATTTCCAACACGTGTTCATATTCAGTAAGTCCTAAATTAAGAGGTGAGGCATATTAAGAGAGCCTTTACATCAATCCCGTCAAATTCAAAATTGCTGTTCAAAATAACTGTCGAGGAAGATCTAACAAAATAAAATTCGGTTTATTAACAAAAGGCTCTGAAAGTAGCAAGTATCTCTCTGTAGATTTAGGTTTGAAACAAGAATATATAATGTAAAAAGCAAAAGCCTTGCTTATGGAAATATAATAAGAATTTCGTTTATTTAGTAAACGCTGTGCTCCAGTGCACATACCTACCTCTTAATCCATGTTTGATATTCTAAAAATTAGACATTGATACTGATGGCACACTACAGTGCGATGCTACAAATATAAGAATTTATCAAATTCTGATGGCTTTAGCAAAAAAAAAAAAATGGCGACATGACAGTTCTAATTTGTATTGAATAACGGTAGTAAGTGGTAAAATGGTAAGAACAATGCTTGAAATTACGAACCGTTTCTAATATAATCGATATATCGGGTCGTATCGTACAATAATGATAATTTTTTGAGATATCTTGTACAATGATCAGTTTTAAGAAACATCCTATCTATACAAAAACATTTAACATTTTTTGAGATGATTTCAACTTCCTAATGGGAATAAAACCAGTAATAATGTTGACACAAAGAATGTGACATTAACGTTCTAGTGTCTCAGAATTAAAAAAAAATAGAGAAAGCGATTTGTACATGATCACGTATTGATAATAATCCTTTTAATTTTTTTTTTCTTGAAACGTTATCACAAGATATTAACAGGCTTCAACTTGTATGGTAACCATTATTCAGAAATGAGTAGTAAAAATAGTTAAAAGAGAAACTAAAAAACTCAAAAATGGCAAATGTAAATTTTCAATTTACGTAAAATCAGAAACAAATCTGGAATATTAGTTATATTGCACATTTAAAGTGAAAGTTACGTAAAGATATTTTGAACGGATTTAACCCGTTTGTGATAGAATTAAATACATAAAATATATTTGGAGTTAAAGCATACTTAAAATTTGATGGAAGTCAGATGGATAGTTTTAGAGATTATCAGTATCTCGATAATTACTAATCATAAATAAGTTCATGGCTAGTTTAAAACCACGTTATTTAGTAACTTAAAGACTTTTTAGTATTTACAGTAGTGTCTTGGCCATTTTTTCAATGATTTTTTGTTTTTATTTCCTGAGCGTAAGTTAAGGAAGTATTGTAATGGAGTCCATCAAACGAATGGCTACTTTCTTGTTTTCTCGAAATAGGTCCCCTGTTTCCTTCTGTCTACCTCTATACTGACCGTTGTCTTTGTCGATTTTTATTTTATTAGACAAAGAATCTCTGAACCAAAATTTGTCTAATCAGCTCCACCAGTAATGGGATGACGTCATCTCCAAAATCCAAAATTTACAATAGTAAATTTTAATTAAATTTTATAAAATAAGATATTCCTGCACTTGTGGTTTATAAATCCGTGTCTAGTTTTTTTCCTAGTCATCCAGATTTTTGGAAAAAAATCAAAACTGTATAACATTTTGAAATGTAACTTAGAAAGTAAAAAACTGAATGCTCTGAAATCTTGCAAAAGTTTTAAGGTTATAGTAAGCATGGTGAATCATTAATCAGAACGTATCCGTTTATTCCCCCCTTCCAAATAGATAACGTCATCTTAAAATTTTGTCGAATAAATGCCATTTAAAGTGCAAAGTTTATATTTGCAGTTCTTCAGTGCATTCATATTTTTTAGAATTGTTTATAGAGGTGATCCGAAAAAATTAATGAATTTGTCAATGTTCAAGAACGGCTCACTCAATTTTCCTAAAAATTTGGGAATAAAGTACTGTTATTATTAGTACACTCCACCTATCTACATTTATTTGCATATAGGGATTTGCAAAAATTTGAGTACAGCTTTTGTTCCAAAAAACTAAAATAAACCAATAAGTTGTAAAGTATTATTATCTGTACCTACTGCCTCAAGTAATAACTCAACCATCAAAATTTAAGATACGGAGGTAAGTCGTAAGTATATGAATTAGGTATTAAAAGTTGTTAGTTTGAAGACTGATTCGATAATTAGGTCTAGATAGCAAGGAAAAATTTGTGTAGTTATGTGAGCCGGGACGCAATAACTTTCCCTTCATGACTAAATTTATTTCTCAATTAAATTCATTAGACTAATCTTTTAAGAAAATGCCTCAACATTTTTTACGTTCCTTAAAAGCAAACATAAACACAAGTGTCAGGATTGAGCTGTTGCTTCAGTTACACAGCACTACTTATTAATGACAATCCTCTTGCAAGTTTGATGCCTTCAACTCAATTAATTTTTAAACGCGAAGCCATCACCTTCAATGTAGCAGTGCAAACAGGTGTGTGCGTGTAACATCCAACATTTCTAATTTTAATGAATTGACTCACTCTATAAGCTGCGGTAGAGTTTCATTGTTCCTTGGTATAATGTACTCGTCAAGATCTATGAGGAGGACGTGTGAGTACAAGTTCATGGAACGATATAGGCAATCATTGAGGGCTGCGAAAAGACCTTCTGTGCGAATTTCCTTCTGCGACAGCATGTTGAGTTGCCAAGGCAACAGGGTGACTAAGCCTCGATCAACGTAATCTTGCAGAATACACCCGACTTGCGGACCGATCGTGTGGTTGTAGAAGGTGAAATGTTCAACGCCCATGATGCGGTTTAGTTCAATGAATTCCAAAATTTGGAGTGCCTGGAACAAAGCCGTGAAATGTTAGGAAAGGGGCTAGGGTAAACTTGGTATTTGTTGAGCTATGTGGATGTGGTTATGTAGGTCGAGTTAATTGCTCCAAGAGATTATCCTTGATGACTCGTTTGATTGTTACACTCCACTCACCCTGTTGTAGTCGAAATGAAGTGGTTTGATGCATGCACCAAACTTATTCGGGGGTTTCCCCGAATCGTTGTAGTTGTTGATGACACTTAATAAGTTGCTGGGGGAAGATTTGACCTTTGTTACGATAGAGACCAGCGCAGGAACTGTTTGATTCGCCAGCAAGGGGCATAGCACGAAACAAGCGCTGTATTTCAAATTCCAATTTTCACGTATCACCTAAGAAAAGAAAATTTTAAAAGTAATTTTGGACAGTGTATATATTTATAAGGTATTTAAGGCAACATTTGTGCTTTCTTACATTTAACTTGTTTAATTTTGAATGTTATAATGTTATGTCAAAAAACAAGTATTTAAAAAAAAATAATGGTGCATTATTTAATTCTTTCTACAACTGCTCTATGTGCAAAAATTACATAGATAAACTTTTTGTAATTTTTGAGAAATATGAAGCTTTAAAAAATAATATTCTAGGAAAAATTATAAACTCCGTACGACAGTGATAAAAAATCAAAACAACCTAGGTTTTGTGCAGATTTATAATTAAAAAAAGTATAATCTATGGAACATATCATTTCAGAATGTAACCAATATTTTTATTAAGCCGATTATTTTTCTTTTCAGAACATTGAATTACTATTAAGCATATTATAGCACTTTGCTTGGGATTTATTATGAAAATTTTAAAGCGATTGGATTGAAATCCTAAGCATCGATATTTTTTGTCTTCACTGTTGTGGTTTAAAAAAGGTTAGATCGTAGGAAGACATATCACGTAAATACATTGTCTTTTAACCGAAAATTATGACACGAGAATGTTAAAAAGTGGCAGGGCAAATGGTTTATCCAAAAACCTCTGTAACTAACTGTTAGAATGAATTTAATAAAATTTGATCAGTCATAAACATCAGAGCCAAACACCTTTTACCTTACTAAAATTGTTTCAGTTTTTCTACGATTATTTGTAGTAGTTTTTACTTCCTGAGCGTAAGCAAAGGAAGTATTGTAATCGAGTCCGTCGACCGACTCTCTACTTTTACGTTTTCTCCACCTTTCATGATTCCTACAGTACAAAGAAATAGGTCTAAAAAATTTTTTTGATCAGGAACTACAAAACCAAATGCTTTGAAATCTTGGAGATGTTTTAAAGTTATCATAGCCATGGTAAATTTTTGATCAAAATGTATTTGCTCATTCCCCCTAAAAATTTGATGACGGCACCCCAAAATTTTGCTGAAAAAATCTTATTTGAAATGTACAAAGTATGATGAATCTTGTAATTTATCACTGCATTAATATTTTTTAGATTTGCTTATCTATCTTATTATCTTATCGGGGTGTCTGAAAAAAAAATTAATGACTGAATACTTTCAAATCTTGACGTTTTGAAGTAATTGTAAGCATGGTAACCTTTTTAATCAAAATGTATCTAATAATATGTCTCAACCCCAAAAAATTGATTACGTCATCTTAAAATTTTGCCAAATAAATTCTTTTGAAAGTGTGCAAAATATGATCAGACTATATTTGTAATTTATCATTGCATTAATATTTTTTAGATTTGGTTATACAGGGAGACTCAAAAAAATTAATGAATCCGTCAATTTATTATTGATCAAATTAAGAACAAGCCACCCCATTTTCTCGAAAATGTGAGAATACGCTCGTCTTTACAACAATAAAATAATGATAAGGTAAGAATCATAATAATAACATTCAGAATATTTTGTTCAATTGAGGCTTATGAATAATTTTAGTTATCTGTTTTGAGACGATAAAGTCATTCAAATCAAACAATTATCTACGTGACATTCATGCTATGTATACACATTAACATTTTTAATTAGCACAGTTTATATACAGACATCATTTAACAACGATTTTAAATTGATGAAAAATTCTTAGCCTAGAAAATTATTTACTTACAATATTTGCCTTACCCGGCATTTTCATCCAATGAGATTTTTTTCATTTATATTACGTACAGATTTAGGTTTTAATCTAGTGAATAAGCTATATTTAATAAAAATACCAGTGACGACATATATACTTAACAATTTTCATGGTCAGCTTGCGATTTAAAATTGCTAACTGAAACTAATAAACAAATCAAAATTTCTCGGCAAAATATTTGTTAAAAACCAACGGAATAACGTGATCAGTAGTCCTCGTGCAGTCGCAGACTTTAAAAACGAAGTTTTATACTAATTATTATTAAAAAAAGTACAAGTGTAGAGTGTTGACAATGTAAATATTAAATATTACAAAGAGCCGCCGTGGTGGTTATTTTACAGTGACTTTAAATAAATCGATTATCAGTTATAGAGGTTGTTATCTTTTCTGGTAAACTCTAATTAAAGTTTTTCCAGAAAACTTTTCCAATATATACAGTTTTTGATTTAAAAATCATACCATTAATTTATCATCTTCTACGTAACAATATAATAAGAAATAACCTAATGTAAAGTTCGTCTAAAATGATAAGCAAACGCCGTCAATTACTTTATGCGGGATATTTGCCATCCCACACCAACTTGCAATAAAATCATTTCTCAGATGTAGTATTCTATACGAAGCCGGACTTAAAATCTTCAACGAAAACTACATTGATTGAATTCGAAGGAGGGTTAGAAAATTATAACCCCTCATAAAATAATTGACGGCGTTTGCTTATAAGTTTAGACGAACTTTAACATGACTAAACCAACTGTGGAATAGTCGTAAGTTCGGATAAAACCGGTTCTATATTTAGTTTACCTAGTAATCTAACAAATATTAATTAACCGAGATTTTGTGGGATAACTTCAGCAAATGTGGGTACAGTAGAACCCCGATTATCCGGGTGCGCATTAACCGGGCGGTGGAATATCCGTGCCAGTAGATAACCTCGATTATCCGTGGTTCGATTATCCGTGCCGAACACGAAATGCAAGCATGCCGACAACTCAGCTAAAATGTGATTTGTAAAACAAAATATTATGTTACCCACCTATAACAGCGTTGTGGTATAAGCATGAAACTGAAATCATAATAGCTACCACAGCGTTTTTTATTAATGAGCTGACTAATTTAACATTTATTTAGTCTGTTTTAAACTTTGTGGTGTAAAAGCGTGATATATTCACTCAATATCGAACACTTATATAGTAATTATGGATCAGCCAGGTGCAAGTGGTTCTGCTAAACGAAAGCGTACAGTTCTAACCATTGAACAAAAAATTGAGATTATCAAACAAAATGAGTCAGGTAGATATTCGTCGAATATATAATTAAATCTAAATTTTGAAACAAACGTTTTATCTAGGAGAAAATGTGGCAGCTCTAGCTAGACGATTTGGAATAGGGCGTCAAACAGTTCGCGATATTGTCAAGAACAAAACAAATCTACAGGCTTTTTTATTACAAGCCGATAGTACGCAAGTGGTTTCCCAACGAAAAACAATGAAGGCTTCCACGTTTGAAGAACTGGAACAAGCAATGATTAAATGGTTTCTACAAAAACGAGCCGAAGGTACGCCAATTTCGGGACCAATGTGCTTACGTCAAGCTCAACTATTTCACGAAAAACTGAATCCTGGAGAAAATTTTAAGGCTTCAAATGGATGGCTATATCGATTTAAAAAACGACATGGAATAAGAGAGCTATCCATAGAAGGCGAGAAACTGAGTGCAGACGAGGTAGCTCTAACTGAGTTTTGTTATGAGCTTGAAAATATTATCCTGGAACGTGATTTAAAATTGGATCAAGTATATAATGCCGACGAAACAGGTTTATTTTGGAAAACAATGCCCACTAAAACTTTAGCTCACGAATCTGAAAAATGTGCTTCAGGTTTTAAAACCAATAAAGACAGAGTTACCATACTTTGTTGTGCCAATGCAACTGGACGACATAAACTACGACTGACTGTGATTGGAAAGTCAAAAAATCCACGTGCCTTTAAGAACATTAACAGAAATAATCTACCCGTGGATTATTATAATCAAAAATCGTGTTGGATGACACGAGATATTTTCAGAGAATGGTTTTTTAAAAAATTTATCCCTCAAGTCAGAAAATTTCTTGAAGTTAATAAATTGCCACCAAAAGCTCTGTTACTTCTTGACAACGCGACTGTACATATGGACGAGACAGTATTGAAATCGGAAGATGGAAGTATTACTGCAGCGTTCTTTCCTCCATATGTTACATCTATTGGCCAACCAATGGATCAAGGAGTGATCGAGAACATGAAAAGATACTACAGAAAAAAGATAATGATGGACTTATTACAAGAAGACTCTGACCCAATGACGTTTTGGAAAAATCTAAATATTAAGGACGCGATTTATGGCATTGCTGAGGCTTGGAGTTGTGTAAAAGATGTCACAATAAAGCGAGCATTTTTAAAAATTTTAACATTAGAAGATGTACCAGATATGAACGAAACAATAGTAGAGAGTGAAGTTACTACAAATGCCATAGCAAACATTGCCTCCGAAATTTCAACATTGGATGGTGTCGATGCTGAAGTAATTGACAATTGGATTCATTGCGATTTTCAAGAACACGGGACTGAAACTTTTACTGAAGAAGAAATAATTGCACAATTTGAAAAAAACAAAGAAGAGTCAGGTGAAGATCACGAAAAAAACAAAGAAGAGTCAGATGAAAATGATGATATCTTCGAAGAACACACTTCCAATAAGATTACAAATCGACAAGCACTGGAAGCTTGTAATACTTTGATTGATTATTTTGAAAAGCAAGATATTGATGACTTTACCATTTTAAACTTACAAAAAATGAAGTCGTTCATTAGACAGAAACAATTAAAAACTAAAAAACAAACCAAATTGACAGCTTTTTTTGTAAAACATGTTTAATTTAACCGTACATATGTATTTCCCTAAATAAATAAATAATTTTGATTAACCGTTCGTTTCAATTATCCGGCAAACATCTGGTCCCGGTCGGCCCGGATAATCGAGGTTGCACTGTATATCCTGTTGTGATAGATAAGAAATTTTGTAGGTTATTTCCCTTACATCTTGCATGTTTTAAAGCGCTGACTTTTTCTTTGTTATTATTATTATTTTACTCCCACCACTGACCCGGAAGTGACGAGATTCGGTCAATACTTCCATCATTAATCCATTGCGGTTATAAGACAAAGTGACGATAAGCATGTTGAGATTATTAATAATAATATGTATTAGCATTTTTGCAGGGTTTGAGTGAAAGGGGCAAAAAACTGACTTCAGGTTTACAACTGATAAAATTTGGCAAATTCAAATGTTAGTGATTGATTGCAAAGGTAAAATTTTATTTTTTGTATTTTACAATAAGGAAAGGTCCATGGGAGCTGTAAAAGGTCTAACTCAACCCTGCAACTTTTTAATTTCTGACCGTAATCTGTGGAAGTGACTTGTATACTTTAAGAGAGTATTATGTTGTCAATTTATCTCCACCAACAATTTGATGACGTCATCTCAAAACTTTCCAAAGTTAATCTAAAGGCTTATTAATCCGCTTTTATTTTTTACCTTAAATGTCTAAAAAAAAAAAACAATATTATAAGTAGGTACAGGAAAAATATAAAATTTGCCTTAGAAAATACAAGCTCAACTGTCAAATCTGTTTATACGCTTTAAAAATTTTGCTTGATAAATAAATTTCATCTAAAATGTTCAGAATAATATGCGTCTATGCTTGTAGTTAATCAAAGCACCCATATTTAGAAATCTACATGTGCAGATTGTTGGAAAAACTTGAAAATTACGCAATAAAATTTTCATTGTACATTAAAATCTGCCGAATCAATTGTTTTGAAATTTAGCACATGATTTAAGGCACTCATCACCTGAATGATAAATCCATCCATCCCTATCAAAATTTTGAGTCCCCAAAGTTTGTGAATCCCTCAAATTTTTATAAAATAATACTATATCATTGTTTCACATGTCGTTCATTAAATTGTGAGATGATTTACATCACTTCACGTTAAAAGTTAATAGCGCATTCATAAAGTCGCTGGCACCTATAATTTTTTAAAACCGGGTGGGTTCAAAAAAACATATTCTCCAGGTATTTAATTGTGTTTAAAAACATTTTTGGAAACCAAAAACTAACAAACAGATTACAGATCATTGTTCGACAGTGCACGTTTGAAGTAGATTCTTGTGCTGAGATCACCCACGGTGTAGTTTTAATAAAATCTTAATCCTTAATTATGAAAAAAATTGCATATATTTTTAATATTTCTTGCAATCGTGTTACGTTAATGTAGTTGAACTGTATCGAGACTACCGAGAGTGACGTGTTTTAATAATAAGCACATACATGTATTTTATTCAGATTGTACTTACCTTTATTTTTGCTTGAACTGTGCGTGAAGTAAAAGAAGTAGCATTATTATCGTTAGCTCTGTACCACAAACGGCACCATACTCGTTCCGGTCCTCTTGTTTTCGTTGCTCCTATCACACGCACTGACCTTTGTCCTTTGCGATTGTCAAAAAAGGCCGAAAATACGAAAAATTTGTATCTGAAAATTAAAAATGTCATCTGTTAAAAGTGATATCAGAAACATTTCAACTTTTTTTTACAAGATTAAGCAATAACTGAAAATATAACAAAGAATATGTAGAAGAAGGGCTGTCACATATACAGAGGTGAGTCAATAAGCGCACGGCCTCGATATCTCATTAATTTATTATTACACAGAGAAACAAATTACAAACCAAAATTGTGTAGTTCTTGGGGTGGCATGCGCCAACATTATTTTCAAGTAAACACAATCTGTTTTTGAGAGATAACTTACAACTTGTTTTTTTCTAAAGAAGAACACCTTATATATTTTGTGTTATATTTTTTGTTGAGGTTATTCCAGTTTTCATAACATTATTTATCAATGCAAAGGTTTACAAAAAAATGCAGCATAGGGTTATTTTTAACATGTGTATTGCAATATTTGATGGAGAGATAAACAGAGGTTGTCAACTAAATGGGATCTTATCTTAATAAACGTATTTGTAAAAAAAATCAGCGGGTCTCTTAAAAAAGTGAAAAATTGCAAGAACTATCAATTTCAGGTGTAGCACAAATTTTACAAAAGAAAAACAATAATAACAGAGTAAGATGCAGTAATAAAATTTAGGGTGCTCTGTTTCAAAATATTGAAATAGTGGCATTTGAAAATTATAATAATATAGAATTATTTATGAACACTTGTATATTAAGATTCAATGTCATTGATACCACAACAAAGTGCGTACCTTTGTTTATCTAATTGCAAAATATTGTAATATAGAATTTAAAAAGAACCCTACTACGTTTTCTTGCAGTGCTAAAATTTCAAATACAAATTATGATTATAAAGAGATATAAGAGGCTAATCAAAATAACCAAAAAAAAATAGGCTGTTCTCTTTAAAAAATCTAAGTTGTGTGCTACGCTTCTAAAACAAAACACTCCAAAAAGTTGAAAATAGTATTAATTATTATGGTTCTCAAAGAACCGTTCAACCTTATTAGTGTTTGAGTTTGTTGACGTCCCGATAGTAAACTAAGAAAGAAATGTAATGGTCCATCCGGCGAATGGACCATTTACAGGACGTTTCATGACCCTTAGAGTATGAAAAAAGAGGTCTCTCGTTTCCGTCTGCCTGTGTCGCTTTTTAATTGTCGAATCGATTGTTGAAAAATTTTATATATACTACAGGGATATACAGGGTGCCGCATCCAAGTCTGGATATAGGGAATTAACATGTGAATTGGTTTTTACTTTATAATATCTCCCGAGATCACTTTAAAGCTATTATTGAGTGATGCCTTTGTAGAGGTCGAAGAGGGCTATCGGCCAGTATTTTTTTCAAATCGTTGCATCGCGCTCATTCACTGTAAAAAGGTTTTAAAAATCGTATTTTGAAATTCGCGCCCGATCCGATTTGTCACGAAATGTTCCGTCGCACCGTCGATGTTCGGCGATCGCGTCTTTGGAATATCCATGCAAAATTCAAATGTCAAAGTGAAATTAGAAATTATTCTCAGAAATCAACGAACAACTCAAACTGAATTATTTTATCCAGTGTGATGATTATTGTAGGTAAGTTTAAACGGAATAAATGAACAAACTGTACAAAAGATTTTATTAGGTTATGCTATGTTCTACTGCGATTAGATGAAAAAGTGAGGGCCTGCTTGTTCTTCAACGGTTAATTTAATTAGTAGGTAATTTGGGAAAATTTCACACTTTTTTTCGAATCACTAAAGATTGGAAGTCAATTGGGTTTACATTCGTTAAGCAGGGCTGGAATTTTTGCCACCTGGAAGCATGTTCGTTACAAGAAATTTTTGAGAGAGAAATGTAGAACATTGACTCATCAACATTTTAAAGTATTTTTCTCTATTACGAATGTGTTTTGGGATTCAGAAACTTTTGTGTTACTGTTTTATTTGTTTATTGTGTTAACAACAACAAAAATAAAAATAATATTTCACAAAACAAAGTTACATTTATTTTCAAAGATGATAAAAAGTAAATAAAATCAGGTGGGCACAACATTTTCTAGGGATCTTAAAGAGATGGGATGGAAGAGTTTCAAAAAGCATCATGACAAAAAATTGAAGCCTGAGGACTACTTCTCACGTAGGGAGTTTTACGAAGGAATGCTTAAGAGAATCCAGGCTGATGGAGAGTTTTTGAGGAACATTTGTTTTACTGACGAATGTTCATTTGGTCTTAACGGAAGTTATAATCGTCAGAACGATCAAATTTGAGCATAACACAATCCTCACGTGGTCCATGACTATCGTTATTAATGGCGTGCAACTGTCAGTGTCTGACTGGGGCTTGTAGGACATCATGTCATTGCACCTCTTTTAATCGAATCTATTGAAATTGAATGCTCAGAAGTAGGACAATATGCTAGCTCAGCAAATACTTCCTGGGACTCGAAGGGTGCGGCATCTGCAGCAGGTCTTTTACATCCAGGACCAAATCACCAGCCATATAGCTCGCATAAATGTTGTTTATTTGAACCAGTATTTTCCCGCAATGTTGGAATGGAAAGTTTGCACGCATTGGTCTGTGCATTCGCGGGATCTAAATACCTGGGAATTTTTTCTTTTGAGATTTCTTCACAACCATCTGTATTCAAACAATACCAGCTATACAAACAGAGACGCGCTGAAACAAGCAGTCCAACAAATATTGTCTTCAGATTGCAACGCAAATGCTGATCAACACGCGTAGAAGTTTTGAAGATCGGCTTACTTACTGTACAGCTGCTGAGAGCAGTCTTTTTGAGCAATTCTTGAAAATAGTGCAATACTTCTCCAGATTCGTACAATATTTCATTACTTCATTCATCAACAATTGTTAAGTTTTGTTATTTGTAGTTATCTAAATGGTTCATTAAAAGGCTCTCTTCAAAAGTGCCACCTGTTTTGATGGTAAATTTTATCATCACACAATAAGAAAAGCGGGCCCTCGCTTTTTCATCTAATCGCAGCAGAACATGGCATTTTAATGAGATTTTAGTAATAAAGACTCGACCAGCACCAGCAACATAACCTAATAAAATATTCTGTGCAGCTTGTGCATGTATTCCGTTTAAATTGACCTACAATAATCGACATATTGGATAAAATAATTCAATTTGAGTCGTTCAGTGATTACTGAGTGAGGCAGCGCGAGTACATCCCTAGCTTGAGGGCTCCCAGGACATGTTACAATCCTGCCGATGGGGTTTTGAGGAGGACCAGCTGCTCGAAGTCTTCATGTCGGGCTTTTTGGATACGGTCTGAGTGTAGTTCGAGATGGCTCGTTTGACGGGGTCGCGCACTATGACGAATGAATTGATCAATTTGTGCATTTATTCCGCTTAATTTGTCCTACAATAATCATCACACTGGATAAAATAATTCAGTTTGAGTTGTTCGTTGATTTCTGAGAATAATTTCTAATTTCACTTTGACATTTGAATTTTGCATGGATATTCCAAAGACGCGATCGCCGAACTTCGACGGTGCGACGGAACATTTCGTGACAAATCGGATCGGGCGCGAATTTCAAAATACGATTTTTAAAACCTTTTTACAGTGAATGAGCGCGATGCAACGATTTGAAAAAAATACTGGCCGATAGCCCTCTTCGACCTCCACAAATGCATCACTCAATAATAGCTTTTATTCTATTTTAGAACCATAATCTTATTTATAAGCACCCAAATGCGGGCTTAAATTGGCCTTTTTAGCACAAATCTGTCAAAAATTCCTAAGCAACAATTGATTGTTCATTTACACTAATCAATTAATTATTCAAACAGGCTTCGATATTCAACGTTTTTCTTAAGTTGGAAAAATAATATTTTATCAAATCATTACCTGACCGACTTCAAATTCTTCTAAACTTTCGTTTGAATAAAGTTTTTCCGCTTCTTTAATTTACATTTTGAAAAACGAATTATCAAATAATCAACGTGGTATCCATAACAACATCAAAATAATAGCCAGCTATGTATTAAAATTCGCATCGGCACAATTCACACAGTCTTGCCGAAAATATTCAATATTTCGTTAAAAATAGTTTAGAAACTAAAATAGAATAAAACGTTGTATGTACCACGTGCATAATTGTCGATTGTGGCACTCGGGAAATTAAAAGCCCTCCTTCGTCGGGCTTTAAACATTCCCTCGTGCCACAATCTCCTTGATTATGCCCTTAATACATAAATAACTATAAAGTGATCTGGGGAGATATCATAAAATAAAAACCAATTCCCATGTTAATTCCCTATATCCAGACTTGGATGCGGCACCCTGTATAGGAATATCGTGTAAATGGTGTCAAATGATAACCAAAAATTTTCTTATTCCTATAGTAAATGCTTTTTAAGTTTTATAAAATAACATACTCCTACACGTGTGATTTATGACTTCGTCTTGATTTTTTACCCCATAGACATCTAGATTTAAAAAAAATCAAAATAATATTTTATATAATTGAAATTTGAAATTGCAAAACTGAACGTTCTGAAATCTTGCAAACGTTTTTAGGTCATCGTAAGTAGTGTAAATCGTTAACTAAAATTTATTGGTTGTGAGGTGACGTCATCGAGTTTTAGGGAGGCGAGATAATTCTGAAAAATTTATGACGTTTTTCAAATTTTGTCAAATAAATCTTATCTAAAATGCTCAAAATATTATGAGTTTAAACTTTTGCTCTGCATAAGATTGCACATTATATACAACACTGAATAGGTTTTACCATTCCTTTAGGTAGAAGGGCTGTCAGCTCCAGCCTCTAAAACTTATTTTGTTAATTTTTAGACCTATTTGTATTCATTCACTACCAGTACCTGTTCCGTATCGGATCCTTTTATTAGGCAGCAGGAATTACTGCTTATTCAATGTCTGTTAGTAAAGTTATTAATTGTAAAAAAGGCGGTTTATTAAAATTGAACTTCACACGGTTAAAACAAATGCATTTATATTTTTTGTAAGTGCAGGGTAATAAAAAATTAATGAACCAGACGGATTTATTTTATTTATCAAATCAAGAATAGTTCACAGGATTTTACAGAAAATTTGGGAATATATGTAATATTCCACTGTGTTTAATGTATTACACTACACCCATCCAAATATGCGTAAGAAGTTTCTTTACCTTTATTTTCACAGTACACACATATCTCTATTTTAACTTGTAGGGGTTATCATAAAAAAAATCACAAAATCAAATTTTATATTTTTTCGAAAAAGCTGGATATGATATATTACACTTAGTCCAAGGACGTGGGACGTTCTGCCTAACTAACCATAGACCAATTTTGTTTATAATATTTAATTAGATTAATAAGATATCGAGGAACGAACGTTTAGTGAGTCGCCTGTACACCCTGTACATATGCATATACATATCCTAAAATATGATACTGAAGTATTAAATCTGCTCAGAGCCCGACGTCAGGGCATACAAAACAAGCAATTACGTACAGCCACATCTTTGAGAGGCCCGGACACCTCAACTTTAAAAGGCTGGATTGAAAGTTAAGACTGTAGAGCGGGTCCTAATTGATGTTCTGCCTCAAGTACTTGCAGACACATAATTAAAAAGAAAGATTTTGAGAAGATTTTAAAGCAATTTAGTCAAGACGTGCGCATATGAAAATTTAACTTTTTTACATTTGCTTACTTGATTTCATTCAAATTCTGGTCATATGGTAATGAAATCTTATTTGAGCACAATTGTTTTCATTAATAAATAATAATAAATTTAGTATTTATTCTGTCCTATTAGTATTACTTTTACAATTTTATAATATTACATATACCGCAATGTATTATAACCCTTAGTAATCGCTAATCGGTTAAATTCAAGTAAGTAATAACAGCAGTAATAAGAATAACTGAATAATGTAGCTTACCTAGCGCCGTTTACGTTTTGCCAAGAACCATTTGTCGGGGTTATATGAAATGGATATGGTGGCAGCTGGGTTTCTGTGAGCATTTTGGAAGACTGAGGACCCGGTTCTTCATCAGCTACTGGAATAGCTGCAGGACGACCTAACAATAATGCTCCAACTGTGTCGTCCATGTTGGATACAGCACCCACACGGATTGATATGTAGTCGTCACTCTGTAAGTATTGTTAAGACAACCATATACAACTAACGTAACATGCTATTATTATTATTATTATTTAGTATGTTCAACAGAGTTGACCTCCAATTACAGAACATACATCACAGATTTTAATAAAATCTATTTCACGAACTTTCTCCTTTATAACAAAAAGTGTATTTAGGATAAACCCGAATAGTGAAGACTCCTCACCACATTGACAGTGGTTTGAAATAAGTCAAGGTGTAGATTCACATAATTACCCAGCCTACACATAATTTGTAATAACGAGTATTTTAATACATTTATTTTGTATGCGGCGTGTGATTATATAATAATGATCTTTGCCTCGAACTGTAAGATCTTTAGGTTTATATGAAAATTGACCTGTGCAAGAAAACTGGGACAATCCAAAGTTGACTTTGGTAATTTTTGTACGAATAGAAGCTTCGCTATTTTACTTCTTTGAGTAAGAGTTTGAACAGCAAACCTCTCTAAAAGTCTGATCTGAGAGTATCCTAGGTAGAATCCATCAGCTCTGAAACACAGATATTTCAGGACTCTTCTGACCTTTCCAAACTGTCTATATGACTCTTGTAATGTGAAAACCATACAAAGGTTTTGGCGTTGCGTATTACATACTTATCCATAAACCTTAAGTGAGCTTTTTAGCGTCCTCTGAACATGTTCTACAAATGATAGTTTTTTATCAAATACCAGACCGAAATCGGTAACTACTTCGGGTCTACTCAGTAGGAAATCATTTATTGTGTAATTCCACAATATTGCATCAAATTTAAGTCCGAAAGACATGACAACGCATTTATTTTTATTAACAGGAAGCTTATTCATGCGACACTATTTTATAACAAAATCAAGGTTATTTTGAAGAGTTTCGCAATCCTTCTGATTGCGGATCACAGTGAAAATCTTGATGTCATCCGCGTATAGTAAACATGATACGTTCAGCTCCGTCACGAGATCATTAATAAATAAGTTGAATCGCAATGGTCCTAGAATTGATCCCTGGGGTACCCTTGATGTCCCCGTGTATTTCTTAGAAGAATAACCATGGACGAAAACATATTGTTTGCGATTACACAAGTAAGAAGACAAAAATTCGACAACTCTTGGAGTACAACAGTTCCATATTACTAAGTATAGTTAAAAGAATACTATGATCTAATTTATCAAATGCCTTTGATAAATCAAGGTAAATAACATCAGTCTGAGAACCGAAGTCTTTTGAACTGGAGATAAATTCAGTAAGGGCACACAAATTAGTCGTTGACCACCTACCGGAATCAAAAACCATGTTGCATTTCTGTCAATGAGTTTTTTACTTGAAAAAAAATTTCATTGTAAATAACAGATTCAAAGACTTTTGAAAAGATGTTTATTAAAGCTATTGTTCTTCATGTTCTTCAATACATTCTAGAAAGTAAGAAAGTTATCTTAAAAAGCGTTGATAAACCGGGTGATCATTTAGATCTGAAGTCATGTTACTAAGTTAGATTTGCCACTTTAATTTGTCACGAAACTAAAAACAAAAATTTGATAATCAATATACTTAAGATAAATTTTTGTTATTTTTTCTAATTATCATTTACTTAGTGTCCTCCTTAAATCGTGATCGTAACACATGACTGATATCTAAGCGCATAGCTGATAAACACCTTAGTGATAAAACAGAAGCTGTTCAATCGTTATAGGGCATAAGCTTTTTATTTTCCGAGCATAAACTAGGGAATTATTGTAATTGGACAGATGGCTAGTTTCATGGTATATAGATGTTTCCCACCTCCTAGAATATGTCTCCTATTTCTGTCTGTTGGCGATTTTATTAGAGAACTCATTTTGGAAAGTATTGAACGGATACCATAAAACTTTAAACGTATTTTAGAATGTAGACAGTAAAATTGTGAACCAAAATTTGTTCATTCATTTTTACTAAAAACTGAGTGACGTCATTTCAAAATTTGGCTGAGTAAATACTAATTAAAATGAACAAAATAATGTACTTTTATACCTGTGATATATTAACTAGTAGATCTTGCATGCAGATTTTTGAAAAAAAAAAATCAAAAGAATAAAACCGATTGCTCCGTAATTTTAAAATACAAAAATTGGTCGAAAGTTGTTTCGACAGAACTTCCCTCGTACCTACAGTACAATGAAACATATCCAGGATTTTCGAGTTGAGTTTTTTCTTTACATAATTTTGCAATGACGTCATCAACATTTTTGCAAGGACAGGTATATTATCTTGGACTGGTGCAGAATAATACTAAAAATAACAGTATTGTATTCCCAAAATTTTCTGCGAAAATGGAATTCCTGCTTTAATCAATAAATTAAATTGACTCGTTCAATATTAATGCAATGATAATTCACAAGTAAAAATATATACATATTTTGCACATTTTGGATAGAATTTATTCGGCAAAATTTTGAGATGATGTCATTAATTTTTTGGGGTTGATAAACAGATACATTTTGACTAAAAAGTAACCATGCTTACAATAACTTCAAAACTTTTGCAAGATTTCAAAGTATTCAGTTTTGCAATTCTTGATTTAATCAATAAAATAAATAGAGTCAGTCATAAATTTTTTGAGACCCCCCCCCATATAAGCAATTCCAAAAAAATATTAATGGAATGATAAATCACAAGTATAGACTCATCATATTTTGATTAAAAATGTATTATGCTTATCATAACTTTAAACCATCCGTAAGATTTTAAAACATTCGGTTGTGTATATTCAAAATTAAATTGCAAAATGTTGTTTTGTAGGTTTGATTTTTTTCGAAAAATCTGGACGTTTCGGGTCAAAAATTCAACACGGAGTCATAAACTACATGTGCAGGACTACGTTATTTTATACTCCCTCCGTCCGAAAATATCGTATACATTCTAAATTTATTTTTGTCCGAAATTATGGTATACATTTGTAACTTTATTTAATAATACTATTATAACGACAATACATTTCAATTATATGCAATGGGAGCTTCTGTACAACATACCAATCTCGTTGGTAACCTTCCCTCACGACGAAGATTGGATTTATTAAGATGAGGAATTTTATACTTAAAATTTAATAAATAAATAAAATAAATAAATTAGATTATTATAATATATTATTATTATTAATTATAATAAATAATTTATTTAAGTTAATTATGCTTTCTAAAATCTCTTATTTTTTAAATTCAGCGGGTGTTGATTTATTTTTTTGTAATTGTAGTAATTTTCTTGGTCACTTTTTTAACAGAAACGAACGTAGATCTCAGTTCACTATTTATATGATGTTCCATTAGTACACAAGTTGCAAACAAAATTACTTGATTATAATTTGCTGGTTATAACTTGTTTATTATAATAATTTTTAAATATTGTTGAATTGCTGAAATTATTTTAGTTTTTTATTATAAAATGTATAATTATATTTCTTATAGATAATAAAATCCTTGATAGTCTTTTTTTCTCCTGTAGCTTTTTTTTTTAGTTTAAAGCTATTTAGACAGAATATACCTCGTTCTTGAAGCACAATCAATTCTGAATGAACACATATACCTATTTTTAATACAATAGGGATTATTATTTAGTACACTCTTTCATCATATTATTTTTTATTATTATTTCTTAATTCTTGTATTGATATTCTTAATTTAATCTGTCATCTAAATGGAAAATTCTGTTGGGTAATAAAGATATTATTATTATTATGAAACCTAGAAAAAATATTATATATGTTTGTTACAAAAAAGTAGGTGCATAAGATGCGTGATAATTACAAATCTTCAATAGCTTACAAGAAAAGTTATATTAAGAGGACGGATGATCATTTCAAATATGACAGTGACTAAAGAGAGAGACGGAACATGTTTTAATAAAGATGGAGTACAGTAGAAAGCGGGTAAATTGTAGCAGGGGCGTATCGAGAGCGTCTTAAACATAAATAGTGATGGAAATCTGATCAACTTCACCACACCTAATGTTTACAACAAAAAAAAATCGACAAAAGCACTTATTGAAAACCAGTGTGCATAAAAGTTGAACAAAAAACTCTACTAACTATCTACTTGCCATAACAAAACACAGCACACTGAATCAATTTGAAACGCCACGGATTTTCCACTCTCCTGCGGGACCGTTTGAATTGATGGGTCACTTTCTCAGCACAGCAAAGATATAGGACATTTTTCGTACTCTTAATACAACGTCCTTGATAGCTTGTTTTTAAACTGACAGTTCAGAATTTGAAATTGGTTGAAACTAAATATTTTACATCGGTAGAAAAATTTATAATTTACTTGAGGGGATACCAAAATCCCAAATAGTTCGTATTTTTGAAAATTCAAAAATTTTCGCGAAGTTTGTTTATCAGACTACGGCTGAGTGCGAGCATGTGTAAACTTACCGAAAAGTGGAAGGTCTACAATTTTTAGTAAGGTCAGGTCAGTGAGAAAACTGGGACGTGAGTACGGCACTATATCAAGAGAATTGAAGAGAAACGGTCAAAAATACCGGAACAGAAAGAAATGTCCTAAATATGTGTTATTTCTACTAGAAGGATATGTAGACCTTATGTTGGACGATATCCAAAAGTGTTTAATGAAATTAGATAATTGTATTCAAGAGCATCATGTTGGACACCACATAACGTTTTGATCAGATTTAGCATCATATCATTACGTAATAGAGATCCAAAACTGTCTTAATGATCATCACATATCTTTTGACCCTAAAAAGCCACATTTCCCCTAATTTACCTCAGACCCGCCCAGTTGAAGACTTTTAGGCACTTTTATCTCGAAAAGTGTCCAATGAAGGATGGGAGGCTGAAAATGAAAAGTAGTTACGGCGAAGAGTTTATCAGACAGATCGATGTCGAGGCCAAACTCAATGCGAGATATGCGAAGAAAGTTGCATCTTGTTGAGGAGCGTGGGCCACTTTATTTGATATGAGCTATAAGTTTAGTGATTTATAAGTGTACTATTTGGATTATAGAATAGAAATTTAATATATGTAATTATATTTGTATACAAAATTTTATTAAAGAAGACTTTTGAGACATACAGTAAAATCACCAACAGACATGGAACGGTCAGCCTACTCTTTTTTTCATACTCCACCGGTTACGAAACGTGTCTCGTTTTAAAATTTTTCATGGTAACGTAATTTTTTGTTTTGACAGATGGTTGTGACATCGAAATTTGCGCCATGGATTTTAGACTTAGCGAAGATAGTAGACAGCGTATACAAACTGCAATAGAAGTAGTCACAGCAACATTTAATATTGGTTACATTCCTTTCATAATTTACCTTGGATGGAAACTGGGTCCAGATAGTGGTTGCCGAAGTTTCCGCCTAACACACCTACTTTTTAATTACTAACGGAATTTGCTTTACTTGCTTTCAACGGTTTAAATTAATTAGAAAAAGAGTCTGGGAATTTTGGAGGTACGTATGTACACTGTAACTTGCATTATGTTCGAGGAACAAAGAGGAAACTTAATATTAGTTGTCGACCCAATTTACTTGTTATGTTATTTTGTAAGCAAGCATGTTGAAGGAAGCACATCGCTACAAAATTCTGTAACTCGTGTCTGGAAGTTTGTATCTAACTAATTTAACTTAAGCGAACAATCAAGTCTAGAGATACTAAAAAAAATATAACGAAGGGTCGTTCTATGAATTATCGGAAAGTGTTCCGATGCGAAGAATCTTCTATAAAATTTTGGAAAGTTTTAATAATAAATATTAAAGTAAGTTGGTAATTAAAATTTTTAAGCCGCTAAATGGGAGTGACTTAAATGTAGCTTGTCTTCAATTTACAGGTCATTTATGTGCAATTTTGTATTTGAAACAACTTGCATTTACTCTAAGTGAACTGAAAAAAGACAATCTTAAACATTTTTGCTATAATTTCCCTTATTTGTAACTATTTAATATTCTTATTTATAGAGTTTGGTTTTACTGAAAATATAGATTCTTGTAGTGATAGGTGAGAAAAGAACGTACCTATATATCTTGTAAAATCCATAAATACAGAGGTTAGAAAACGGCCACATATATATTATTATATAGACTTTTGTTATTTTGACTGGAAATTGACCAAACTTATTCATGAAATTTTCACGGGTGTGCATCCACTTCAAATCGGCTGTTTCAGGTGGGTTTTACGGGAATAAAATTTATCAACAGATTTTTCAAAAAAATGTTTATTGATTTGTTAACTCTTTGCAATTATTGTTGTTCAATCAGAAGTCAATTAGAAAATCATATCAGAGAAAGTTAGCAACACTAATAACGTATTTAGAATTCAGAATCCAGAATAGACTATTTCGTCTAAAAAAATGCAACTTTAGTGTGTAACCTTTAAATGAAACATACTGTATACATGATTTTAAATTGTGGTTTTAAATAGGTTCTTCTTCGACAGCTTTAAAAAATTTTTTCAATGACCCACTGTATGCGTAACTTTCGGCTTCTGGCTGTCAAACCGTTGGGTCACTACTCACTAAAAATATATAGATATTTGGAAACATTTTAAATAAATGACAAAGAATAATTTCGGAAATTATGTATAAAAGTTTGTATGAAAAAATTGTCTTCATTTTCATTCATGGCCGTGCAAATTTCTTGTGTTATTTTCATTTACAACCTACAAAAACTGTTATTTTCAAACAAGAATGGGAAGCAAGCTTTACGGCAATCCGTTATCACTATATAAATCAGACAACACAATGAACATCAGTATACTGCAGTTTCAACCTCCTTAGGTCTCATCAGTACAGCATATTGCCGTAAAGCTAAAGGATGACGGGAAGTGCAAACAGGTGTAATTGAGGGTCCAGCGGGGCTCTTGTCCGGGAAGTAGCTGTTTCCACCCACTGGTTGGTCCAAGTATTTGTTACGTACGCAATGTTTGCGACAAAAATACAAAATGGAACTCATCAGTCATTACCGATACCTTTTACAACTCACTAAGTAGTAAAATAAGTATATAACAGCTACAAGAAGTTTATCTAGGACTTGCAAACACGGATTAGTAAAAAAACATGCTAATTTATGAAACGAAAATCTCGTAAGCTAATAATTTTTGTAAATATAGAAACTTATTATTGTTTTTTTTTTTTTAACTAATACACAGCACACTTGTTAGATTACCGTGGTAAACAGAGTTAACGCATATTTTCTGTGGACAACTTTTTTTTTCACAATTATGTCTAATATGTAAATGACTTTACAGTTTAAAAAATAGTAATTCGAGTACAAATTATTTAAAACATACAATCTGAAGCGATTTTAAACAAGGACAAGATGACATATAACTAATTATAATTTATTGTTTTTATACAAAGCGGAGAGTGCTTTTCCACAGCTTACTATTAATTAAGGTTGTGAAAGCCGTAAGAAATATAAAGTCAGTTAAATTAAGAAAAGTGGCGGTTTTTGAGACAATTAATACTCTGCAGAAGCACTTAGTCCTTTTATTTACTCAGCAGTTCCAGTGCGTTTATCAACTTTATTTTTTACGATTATGAATATGTTATATCGTTAAATACAGATATTTAAAAATGTTTGGTCTGTCAGGAGTGTTGAATCGTTTTACTGATGTATACAACGAATGTCTAATTTAAAATTTTCCGCTACTTAGTAGACAGTTATATCTGATCTGATCAGAATTTTTTTTCACTGGCTGATATTTATTGTATGGAACTAAATATTCTGATCCTAAGATTTAGTAGCGTACTTTAAATAATAATTAATTCATCAAAAATTGAAACGTTAATTGACTCTTGACTAGATAATGGCAACACATTGTTTTTGTTTTGGTGTTTTTGGGAAATAAAACTTTACAGTGATGAAGGCGTTTTGCGGTCATCAATATTAATTAAATAATAGTATGATATTTAAACTAAATTACTTTATTTGGTTAAAAATAATAAAGCATTGCTGATAGGGAAACCAAAATTGATAAAATTGGTTGTCACAAATAGAAACGCGTTAATTAAAAAATTATTTAAAAATTAAATTTAATTATATATCATACTTGCTATGCTTACGCATCGTAAACCTCGGAAGCACGAATCACCCATTAATTTAAATTATTGAAACAAATATAAGTTTATCCACACTTCCTATTACGAAATGACATTAATTTAAGATATAGTATGTTTATAATTAAAAAGATAACTATACTTCAACTTTAATTAATAATTAAGTTTCAATCTTTGTAATAAATTCCAGTGCGCAGCAAAATTTCTATTAAAACCTGGAAAGTGGCTGCCAAAATGTCTTCATTTTTCGTTGTTATCTACACGCTAGTCACTTATACAAGTCTGATTAAATGTATGTAATCATAGTTTTTATGGAAAAATCGCTTAAAAATATTTTTTGCTAAACGTAAAACTTCTTGCTGTTATAATGTTTTTTAATAAATAATATACGCATATTTTCGCACGTTACTTTTATAAATAAAATTCGAAACTGGTTAAGTCCGTTTAAGTTAAAACACCCAATGTAGAAATTTCGTGTAAGGAGTAATTCGCCTGTCGTCATAATGTCATCAATCAAAGTAAAAAAGTTCTCCGCTTTTAGATACAAAAGAACGCGTGTGTCTGCTAACAGAGCTGTTTACACACATCTAAAAGCCGATAGTTTTATGTGTTCCAATTACAGATTTATCTTAATTCCTGCGAGTAAATCATGCGTAACTGAACATTTTTTATTGTAGGTGTTTGAACAAATTTTTGTACCTGAAGGGCATCTTCGTAGTCCCGGTCTTGTTGGCGGTGGTGATACGTGAGCGAGCCGTGTCTGACAAGAACTCCCGCCCCTCTCCCTCTTTCGTCTATCAGGAAAATTTCTGTGAAGATGATAATGCCAAACACGGCGAAAAACATCACCACGATAAAAAAGCTCATGTTGGCCCTTTGTCGGCTGCGGAAGTTGATGTACTTCTTTTTCCCCCCGCTGCTCGATCCCATATTGGTTTATCTAGAAAAAAACACATTTTCACTAGATTTTATACGCGTCTGTCTATTTTTAGTAAATGTCAGTGATAAGTGAGTCTCGTTAATGGCATAGCGTGGATAAATTTTGTGCGGTCGAATAAAATCGATTCTGTTCGCTTAGACTCGGACACATGTCCAATTCACTGTTCGACTCGTTCGTAAATAATAATAAATAACAAAAAAAAATGTTTTGGAATTTATTTTATAACGCAAAATTCTGATGCGATTTGGCTCTTATTAAATCATTACATATTGTATTGTAGATTTTCGTTAAATTTACGATATGTGCCAGATAGAACCGTTTGAAAACAACCTGACTCTTATAAATTTAAGAGCGAATTGGAATTGCCTAGATCTATTCACTGCTGGCTGGTGCTGTGTAAATAAAAAAAAACGATTTTCTGAAAACTATGTTAGATTTTTTCATTTTCAAAAAATTGAGCTAAAACCCAAGTTTCCGTTTTTCAAAAGGTAAACACTTTTATGGAATTTTGAATAATCGTAACAGAATAATTTGATTTAAAACATATGTTCAAAAGATTTCTGGGCCTACAGGCTTTGAAGTACCTACATAAATATTACAGCAACAGCAAAAACTTTTTATGTCTCTACAAATGTGTAACTTTGTAACTCATATCTAAATGTAACATTTTAACATTGTGTGTGCGATGGCGTCAACACCAGAAACAGAGCACTGAAGTGTGTATGTACAAATCCTGTACTGTGGAAATTTGCGAGTAGGAAACAAAAGGATTTGTAGGTTCAGATCTATGTATAATGGTGGGTGTATCGAAAGGATGAGAAATGTAAATATTGTAAATGAAGAGCAAATAATATGCTGTAATATTGCCGACACTACGGTCAACAACAAAAAAAATAGATATCAGTGTTTACAATGTACTAAATGAAAGCGTTTCGTGGGAAAACTCAATCTTAAAACGACTTACGAAAGGAAATCGACGACCTGAAAAGAGACAATCTTAATCTAAAAATCTAAGTTAAAGAATTTGCATAACAGGTATAACACCAACAACTCTTAAGTAGACGACAGGCAGCAACTTTATAATTGCCCTTTGGACCTGAAACTTGGTTATAATGAAAAACTGTCCTGTAAATAAGTAAAAGAAATGACAGCTCACAAAACGAACGACGTGGACGATGATTTTTTAAGAAATTATTAGTATAAAATCCTCTACATATCTGTATTATAAAATTTAATTCTGCAAACTGTATTTTCGTTTATGATAACCGTACATATGTTTCACCTGAATTTTTCGTAATAAAATACAGTGCAGTAATAATAAATTGATGTAATTAATAAAATAAACTACTTCATAAAAATTTTTCACCCGCCTGTAAAAACAATAATTCAAAGAAACATGAAAATGGCAAGTCGCCCGATGGACTCGATTACAACACTTAAAAAAAAAGAATAAAATATGAATTTATAGATAAACGACAAGTGGAAACTCGTAATACTTTGCACATTTTAGGTCGAATTTTATTCAGTAGAATAATTTTGAACTGACGTTTTCAAGTTTTTGGAAAGAATGAACAGGAAAAATTTAATCAGCGATTTACTATTTTATGGTCTTAAAACATTTGCAAGATTTCAGAGAATTCAGTTTTTTATAGTTTGCTAAATTAAGCTGTAAATTTGTTTCACAACTTGGTTTTTTTCTTCAAAAATCTGAATGTCGAAGATAAAAATAAAGACGGATGCATAAACAATAGGTACCTCCAGATTATGTTATTTTATAAAATTTAAATGACGTCATCAAATTGTTGGTGGGAATGATTGTATAATTTGATTAGCGTTGTACAATCTACATGATACACGATATTCGTAAACTAGTCTAAAATTTTACAAGGAATCCAGTAAGAAGATAATCTGCCTATGCCAACAGATGACAGATAGACAGAAACGAGATATATACTTTTTCTTACTCTAGGGGTCTAGGGGTTATCAATAACATTAAGAAGCCACGACATTAACAGTTCGCTGGATAGACACTAATACAATACTAACTTACTCTCAGGAAATAAAATGAATCATCGCCTGTAATTTTCACCCAAGACAAAGTTGTTAAAACCAGTTCTTATGGCGAAAACCTAAACTAGCAAACAGGCCAACATCTACCAAAAAGCTGCATTCGAGGCTTAATCAGAAAGAAACAAATAAAAAATTAGTCAAGAAACAAAACGAAGGACCAGTCTAAATTCAAAGTAAAATAAAAAATAACACCTAAAAACACTCTCCACTTACTGCTTCTTCTGAGCTAGGGCGTCAGATTGTTTAGCCACCATAATTCGGAAACATGGCCAAAAACGTAAGGGTATTTGGATTTAATTTTCGGAAACCGTTTTATCGAGTGACACAAAATGACAAAAACATTGAATAAACAAATGACCGCAAGGGAAATAAGTCAGTGACACATCCGCTTCACTATCTTTACTGAAACCAAAATTGTAATATCTTTAATGTCAGTGTTCAGGTAATAAAAAGAGGTACAACATTATGCGTTTTTTAACTATGTCTTAGGTTCATGCTCAACAAATACATTTATGGTGATAACTTGATAACGATAAGATGTAATTTTAAGTTAATACCTCTTGACCATATAACTACGCTGAGGCAGAAATGTATTGTGAAATTGCAGCGTTAAAATTACTTGACAACGCTATTTATGAAAGTAATTTCTGTGCCTAGTCCCTTTGCCGATAATTTTCAGAAATTTTCTATGTGTGACCCTACAGCTCTGACTTAGGTTCGAACGATTATTATCTGTTCTGTTAAAAATGACTTGCGGGGCAAACGTTTTGCGACGGATAAAGAGATGCAATCGGCAGTACTACATCATTTTAGTGATAAAGATTAAAATTATTTTTTCAAAGGGATAGAGCTGTTAATTAAACGTAGTTTTAAATCTATTGAAGTTAACAGAGATTATGTTGAAAAAAAAAAAAATTAATTTGTTTGCATCATGTTTCTTTCTTGGCCGAGAATATTTGGCGCTTACCTCGTATGTACATGCTGGCAATTTTCGGAATGTAAATTTGAAAAGCTCTTTCTCTCAAAGCAGTACATTTCATCCACAAAGCAAGAACATACTTGGTTCTGTATGTGTTTAAAACGACCTACTATGCTATCGTAATGAATATCGCCAATTTGATAGAAACACACTCATACTTGCAAAAAATAGGCCTAAAAACCCCAGTAAAACATTATAAGGGAAGTCTAATTAAAAAAAAGAGGGCTACCTGCTATTTTACTGTTTTTTTCCGTATATCGTAGTGATTAATTCACAACAGTCGATATGACAGGCGGGTGACATCTTGCAAAATTCATTTCGGAAACGACATACGAAAAAAACAAAAACAAAAAGACGTAACATTCTTGACCAGGTTTTTACTTGGACACCCGGTATAAAGTACAGAACTTATTAATACTTGAGACATATACCATCTGCCACCTGATGCAGACAACTAAAGAAATAAATAACTATCTATCGAGTTTCTAGTCAGTATTTCAAGTGTGTACACATACTTAATTGGAGCCTTAAAGAGCTCTTTGCCTACCAGTGTACTACTTACAATATATTTTGCTGTTGTCATTTGCAAAAGAACTCTGCAATCTTATCATGAAGTAATGCTTCAAGCTCCCATCGAATTTTTTTCTACAACGCAGGATAATCAGATTCATTGGCAACTTGCGATACCGCCCAAGATTATCAAGTTGCTATTACTTAAGTTAAAGTGCTTACGTTTCCATGTATGTTTATATTTATATTATACGATATTACACGATATACACATAATACTTTGCTAAAATTAATATGGAACACTTTTATGCTAAAATATAACTTTTTTCTGGAAGTGGATATGACAACAAAACAAGTCAATGTCGAAAGGTACATATTTAATAAGAACAGGTGGTTAAACGTGAGGTAATACTGATAGTGCAAAGCAACAATCAAAAAGAATATGAGAAACGACTATCGACTATACTTTTATTAAAAAACTGTAAAATTTTTAACGATCTAATATCGTGTATGCTCCCTCCCTGTTAACTTGAATTACAGCTTGACATCGTCGGGGCATGCTGCGAATTAGCCATTGGATGTCTTCCTGAGGAATTCTCTCCCATTCCTCAAGGAAGGTTTCTTGAAGCTGCCGAACCATTTGTGGTGGTACTGGATGCTTGCGCACAAGTCGGTCAAGTTATTCCACAGGTGTTCGATCGGATTCATGTCTGTACTTAACGCTGTCCTATCCATCACTTAAATTTGCCACTCCAATAAAAAAATATTTTCCGAGCACCAGTTCCATAAGCAGCAGGCACTATATGATCTTCCAAAACCAAGTCAATGTAATTTATTGCGTTTAAATTAGCATGAATAACCACAAGGTCTGTTTTGTCTTCTAAACAAATCCCGCCCCAAACTATTACAGATCTATCGACTTTTTGAATGGCAGCAGATAAGTACCGTTCACCTAAACGTCTTTAGACACGAAGACGATCGTCATAACGACTTAGGCGAAATGTGAACCCGTTCGTAAAATAAATCTCCAGTATCGAAGTTTTCAGTTTGCATGATTTTGGGAGAATACCATTCGCGCTCTTTTGTGTTCTCCTGTTAAATGAGGATTCTTGACAAGTCTTTTGGGTCTTAAATAAGAATGTCGTAGTCTATTTTGTATGCAATGATCGCAAATCTGTACCCCAGTTCCCATTCGGAGATCGCTTATAAGGTCTTTAGTGGTATATGTACGACGCCGTAGGGATGCCGGGGTAAGAAACCGGTCCTGCTGCGGAGTTGTTTTCCTTCTACGACCTTGTCCCGACTTTATTTTATATTTTCCTGTCTTTCCGAACGACTCCATGCTCTGTGGATTACAGAAGGACTAACTTGAAGGTCTGCGGCTACTGCACGGAAAGACTGATCAGTGATCCCTTTCGAGCAAGGCTACTGTCCGCGTTTT